TCTTGTGAAACACAGGAAAGTAAAGATTCCCTGGTTAAAGATTTTAGTCAGCAAAGATTCCCTGGTTAAAAGTATGAAGTTTCGTATTTTGACACCACTGAAAAAGAAAGAGATGAAAAGGAAACTTTGAACATAAGGGCAGACTGAGCCAGCAGTTGCAAAAGTAGAAATCACAAAGCTAAAATGAGATTAAATGGGCAAATTATTCCACAAGATTTGTCACAAAAACTTACATGTTGTAAAGCTTTTATTGCCTTAAGCTGTGGTTCAGCCCAGGAAAAGTATCTCAGTAACTCAACAACCTGCAACAGAGACATCTTCAATTAATCTTTTATATATAGTAAAAAATTATGCTGACAGCATCAATAGGATATTTCCATTTTGGGGGTATAGTAGTATACTGCTAAAAAACATCTTTCTGTGATGTTTGACTATCAGTGCCTACCAGCATCTGAAGTTGGTTTTATTTATAAGACGCCTTTATAAGTAGGCACCTAAAAATACTATGTTACAAGAGATACCTTTTATACAGTAATATTTAAAATAGATACTTACTCTTCTCTATATATTTGTATATATGCACAGCAATTGCCAGGGTATTAGAATACTAGTAATAATAATAATAATAGTATTTCTGAAGAAGCTTCTAAAATTCCAGTATCTTAAACAGCATCTTCACCAAACATACACACACACGCAAAAAATGAGCAAAACAAACAGCAAAACAAAAAAAAAGAAACAAGGAAAAAAAACTGTATCAAAATAAATTGGCTACTTATTACTATGTGTCAGTTTAGAAAATACATGCAAGATAACCCTAAATTCCATTATGATAAATGTATCCAGTTTTCCCCACACAGCAAGAACAAGAACATAGTAATATGGTAACGAAACAACTTGGAACTATTTTAGCAGTTTAATGCTGATATAATAATGAAGAATTAAATCTTCTCAGTTAATAAATAAAAAAGCTAACATAATCAGCCTCAGTGTGAGTGGTGACCCTGTCTTTCTATATTTCTGAATACACAAAACCAATAGCTCCCACTAAACCCATGACAGCGCTGGCTTTTACCTGTTCACTAGAAAAGTATCCATGAACATATTCAATAGCTTTTAATTTATACTCAGTCAGTACAGCCTAGAAGATACAGAAGAAAAAAGATGCACAATTAGTCCGTCAAAAATTATAATTATAGAACAATCATCTGCTAGACCAATCTATTAATCTAAGAAAAGCCGGGCCATATAAAGTGATATTATATCAATTACACTGCAATAATATCAAGTAACAGTATACTCTTTAGACAATTGAAAGAACAATGAAAAGCAGAGATATAATTATTCTGTAAAAAAAAAAATTTTGCTTTTATTTTTTTTGTTTAAAACTATACTGAGGGAACATCATCATCACTCTTCCTCAAAGGTTTACATCAACTTTACATTGAACAAGATAATACAGATTATTATTCATACAGTATCTCTGTATGCTCCCTGTAAGATAACTAGCAAAGCATCCTACTTCCATGAATTTATGAAGAGACTGCATATCAAGAATTAAGCATGCAAGAAAGCTTGCTGCAGAAGTTGATGTTGTCTTATCATTACCTTCCCATAGTTCAAACTTTAGTACAAAATCATACAAAACAAAGGAAGCAGAGTAGTTTAATGCAGTACTGGCTGCCATTTCTTGACTTCGTGGCCAGTTTTCTTAATAACCATGTGGGCCCTCTAGTAGTCAGAGCTTCCTCCCTCTTCTCATACCCAGCTCACCGATACAGGTACAAGGCAGCTGCATTCTTCCCCAGCCTACTGCAAACACCTTTCTTCCCCAGTTTCCCAGGCCCCCATCTGTTGGTAGCTCTCATGCTCATTCTGAAATCACCTCCAGCTTCACCCACACACCATCTTCTTCCCAATAGCTCTAAAATCTACCCCTAATCTTTCTTTTGTTGTTCTTGTGCCTCCAGACTGACAGATGTGAAATTCTCCACCACTGCAACCTGAGTGTGAGCAGCACAGGTGCACAGAAAACCACTTGCATCCTGTTTGAGACAATCCCTTTCTCTTCCGTACCTCATTAAGAGACCAACACTACCAGACACACTGAATTTCTTGCTTCATACTATTTTTTTTCTTCTCTCCCTTCCTTCTCTTCACATATTTTGGGGAAAAAAAAAAAAGAAGAAAAAAGCCTAATATGTCATATAGCAATTTCTTTACCAAAACAAATGTCACTCTTCCGCCTTAAATCAAGAACTGAATGATTTTATAATAAGTACACAAACAGAAAGCACTGATATGTATATTTATGGATAAACAAACAAAAAGCCCCCCAAAAACAACAAACACACTGATTCTCTTAATAATTGTAAATACATATATATGGAGAAAGGTGGAACTAAACTACACTTTAAGGCATTTAAATAATTGTTCCTGCTAACTGCAGGACTGTTCATGCAATACACCAACACAACTGACTTGTGAATCACATAATAAAGAAGGTTATACCACAGAGCTAGAAATAAAGACCTAGCAACAAAGACACAAAATAAGCACTTGGAAAATGAGCACTGCAACAGCACAGTACTCGTGCACAGGTTGTTTCTTGATTTTTCCCTGCCGACTTTCCACTAAAATTCTTAGTCACTGTGAGGGGAGTGAGGCACTGGAACAGGCTGCCCAAAGAAGCTGTGGCTGCCTCATCACTGGAAGTGTTCACGTTCAAACCATTGTTCGGGCTGGACAGGGCCTTAGCAACCTGGTCTAGTAAAAGGTGTCCCTGCCCATGGCGGGGGGGGGGGGGGGGGGAGGGAGGGGTGTGAGACTAGGTGATCTTTAAGATCCCGTCAAACCCAAATCATTCTATGGTACTATGGAAGTACACACCATGAAATCTCTTAAGCAGTCACGTTTTTAGCTGGTTACACAGCACAGAAAAGACCTGTTTTATAAAGTAGAATTTATGACCACGACCTTATACAAAAATGCTAGTTAGTGCAGTTGTGATAACGAAGACTCATCCCTGGGGCTTTTATGAACAGTGGTTTATAATTCAGCACGCTCCAAAATACTACTACTATAACTGTAGCCATCACTGCATCTAAGGCTGAAGAGAAGCTGAACTGAAACTCAACTCTGTAACACCCATGTCCAAATAAAGGAAATGCCCTCTCCTAGACAACCCATTGTAACAAAAACCACCTATCACAAAAATGCTAAGTATTCCTTTTCTGCCATAAGGCAATCTTCTCCAAAACAAGCCCTTTATTTTCATACCAAGGTAGCTCTATCAGGATACATAACTGTTCCACTGTGACACCTGAACAACCTCTGTGCTACAGCAAAACATGTTATCTCACGTTTGTACTTGCATTCAAGACAGGAACCATTAATCTCACAGGTGCTGATGTTTTTTTAACTCCTCTTCCACTTCCAGTATTTGAGGAACTACCCCAACCACTAACCTCTAGCTTTCCTGTTAAATGCAAGCCTCTCTGCAGAAATGAGTGGCCTGCAAGCCACCAGGAAGCCAAGGTTTGTAACCCTGCTTCCCACAATTAGCCAGTATTTTGCTCAGTGAGTTTTTAAGAAATATGCAAGCACAGTCCAGAGCATGCAGCAAAACCTGGGATTTTGTATCCTAGAGGAAGGTGCACAGACACTCCTGAGCTGTGGGAGATGTGGCTTTGAACAAGAACAGCAAAGTGCAGCTTTGAAATTGAAACTGTCATGTCACATTTGTGTGTTGTAACTCTTAAACCATCCTACAGAAGGTGGACAACTCACACTGTAAGTCCCCATCTCCAGTCAGGCCAAGCAATTGCAGCCCCTACCCCAAATACAATACTTGGCTATTTTTGCTTTTCTTACTCATCTAGTGTAAACGTGATAAACTTATTCAAGTGCTTGCTTTAAATGAGCGTTCTCCAAGCACATGTTAACTCAGTGGTAGCAGCCTGGACTTTCAACCTTCATTTTCTAAGAAAAATCAAAACATTTCAAAAAGAACACATTTTCATAGCAGCTTTACACTGCTACACCTGACACACAAACACCAGGATACAAAAGCAGCACAGGGTTACAGCTCTTCATACCGAGATGAAACTTAGTCTTTATTGAATCCTGAAGCAATTATTAAAGAACACAAACACCTGACCTGGCGTGCTTATCCAGAGGCACACTCTACCTTCAAACGGTTAACTTAACATGCAAACCGAAAGTTACCTTTCTAATTTCATCCAGCACGGTTTCAAATGATTTCTTGTCCATCTTGATCAGTTCATTCAATGCAAATACTTAAACGCAGACGGGGGAAAAAAAAAAATCGAGTCCAAAGCTTAAAGAGTCTTCAGCCACAGAGAAAAAAAAACACAACGCAAACATATATATATATATATATATATATATATATAAATAACAATAATAAAAAGCAGCAGAGTAGGAAACGCAGCCTGGGACCTTTCCAGCCTCTGGGAATTTAGCGCTGATGCTTCTGCACTGCTGGACCCAGTGCTAGAGACAAAGGCAGACTCGCCTTTGCTGCTCGTCGCCACCCGCGGACACCAGTGCTCGCCTGGTGTCCCGAAGCCGTTCTCCCGGGCCGGCCAGAGTCATGAAGGGGCAGTAACCGCGGCCCCCCAGAACGACCCCGCCGCGCCGCTACCGTCAGTACGCGACGCCCCCACACACCATAGCTCGCCGCGCCGCCGCCCTTCAGATTCTGGCGGCCACAGGCCGCGGCGCTTCCGAAGGGCGGCCCCAGGGAGCGAGGGACAGCGGGACTGGAACAAGGGCACGCCGCGCTACCCTCAACGGAGCACCCGTCTCGGCCGGTCCTGCCGCTCGCCGTCGCGCTCCTATGACATCAGAGAGCGGCGCCGAAGGCCCCGGTAGTCACCCACAGCGGTGCCTGCGGAGAAGCAGCTAAAACTCCAGCGGGACTCGCCCGTCTTCAAGCCCCCGGGAGTCACGCCGCAAAGCTAACGCTCCCGCGGGGTGCCACCGCGCTGTCTCTGCCATGTCTTCGTGCCTCCGCCGCTCGGCTCGGAGCAGGCGCGGTTCCACGCCACCTGGCGCTGCGAGAAGCGGCGAAGGAACACGAAAACCCACACCCGCTCCCCTCGGCCCCTCCCGGGGGGGGGGGTTTACATAGCTGCCATGACAACGCGGCCCTCGCCTCCGCGGCGCGGCACTCATGAGGCGGAAGCGGCCGTCAGGGCTGTGGCTGGTAATGGCTGGCGCGCTCCTGGCTGTGCTGGCCCTGCTCTGGGGCTCAGAGGTGGGCTGCGGGCTCAGCGGGCGAGCGAGCGAGCGAGGCGCGGGGTGTTCCGTGACGGCTTCTCGCCCGATGGCGAATACCGGGGGAGGGTCTGGAGGAGTACGCTTGGGGGCGGCGGGGACGGGGCTGCGGTTCTGGCTCACGTAGCGCTAAGCGTAGGGTTGGTTATGTGTTTTTACGGGCCTTGGGCGACATGGTCTACTGTGAGCTGTCCCTGTCCCTGGCAGGGGATTGGAACTGGATGATCTTAAGGTGCTTTCCAACCCTATCGTTCTATGACTTATACAGCCCTTCCGAGAGAAATGCATACACGGGGTGATGCATTTATAGGGGCTTCCAAGCAATAGGGTCTGCTTAAATGAAGGTGAACTTAATGATATCTGGGCAAGTAACTTCGCACTTCCTGCTGTCTGATTTTCTCTGTGCTTAAGTACTCTCGGTTTTCTTTCGGGATAGTCTGGTCCTTCTGAAGCTGTTCGTGGCTCTGTGTGGCGAACTTAGCCCTGCGTCTAGCAAGACATTTAACAGAAAAGTTAAATGTCCCTGGGCCTGCAGGGTCACCACTTGTTAGTTCCGTCCCGATTAGTCGGCTTCAGTGCCCTGATTGCAGCTGTGCTTAGCTTCCATTCTTCTGCTGGAAAATAGTATAACAACAAGTGAGAAGATTATAGTTTCCCATTATCCTTTATATATATTGACCCAAGTTTTGCTTTTCCTGGTATCTTAAGCTTCCCCATTTCCAAGATGTGGTTTTCCTTTCTGACCTGCATATTCCTTTTATTCTGATTTTCTTACTCTCATATCCTTTTGAAGTTGTTACTGATTCTGTTGTGTTTGGAACTGTCTCTACTATTTTCTTTGTTTTGGAGAATGATTTACAGATAGTATTAGCAACATCAATGTAAGAAATTTCAGGCTGTGCTTTCTGCCTTCTAATTCCAGAGCTCCCAAACCCAAAGGATTTCTTTAGCTAATTTCCAATTTGTTGAAATAATCTATTTTCTTAATTAAAATTGAACAAATCAATTTATGATGCTTCAGTACACACTTGCTTTCTACTGCTGGTTATTCTGGTCCCACTGTCATTGAATTTATCAACTACTCAATATTTATTTTGTATTTTCAGGTTTTAAAAGCATTTGATTATGTCTCTCTTTGGAAGGGACAGCAACAGATATACAAGTTGGACATAGGCTGGCCTAAAATTCCAGAATACTTCACTGGCCAAACATTTTGTGTTGCTGTTGACTCTCTTCATGGTTTGGTCTATGTGGGACAAGTGAGTGAGAATATTATATTCCTCTATTTGTTGTTCAAGTGTATTTTTGCCTTTAAAGTTACTGGTTTAGATTGGGATATATATGCGTGTGTCTGTGAGTAGTTATTTTGTCAAAATTAGTGAAAATATAAGAAATGTTTCTGCTCTATTCATTTTTAAAGCAGTTCTGGCACCACACTTGTTTGTGCTTTTATAAGCATTAAATTTCTGTGGTGTGAATGCATGACTTAACTTGACTGAGTCACAGTAGCTTCTTAACTGCAAAGTAAAATGTGATTCTGGAGCAGCTGAATCTTCCACTCTTTCAGCCTTTGTCCCAAGAAATCAAACCCACACAGCTCTTTAGCCAGTTACAGTAACTGCCATTCAGTTATTTGCTGTACCCAGTTCTTATGTGTTGGTATCTCTAGGTCACAGACGAAACATTCTCTCCATGGCAGGTGGTGGGATTTAATTATAAAGCACAGTATGAGTACTTGAGTGCTGTGCTACTAATAAGTACGGTTACAGTTTTTCATGCCTGTGTTACGCTTGTCATATTTTTTAACAAGGCCATAAAAACACAATTCTAAATGAAGACCAGGATAGCTGCAGGAGCTTGGCTGCTCAGAAAACTAGACTTTTGATTCAAGTTGAAACTCTAGAATGAGTGGAAGGATTTGCATGCTAAACTTAGACCCTTCTTCCTCTTTCCTTTTCCAGATGGAAAAAGTGAGATCTAGCAGACAGTCTCAGGAGTTTCTTACAATTCATGAAGCGTTGTAAAAAACTTACAAAGAGGAATTTCAAAACATATGATTACTTGATTAATATGTTTTCTTATTAGACCTTTTTTTTTTTTTTTGTCTTTTTTGTGTCTTCAGAGGGGAGACAATGTGCCAAAGGTACTTGTATTCTCAGAGGAAGGCTATTTCCTTTACTCCTGGAATGATACAGTTGAAATGCCCCATGGTATCTTTGTATTGAACACTGCAACGGATAGTTCAGTATGGATCACAGATGTTGGAACAGGTATGCATGGTGGTAGCATTAGCATTTCCTTCCCCACGTAATGCTAATGCTGCAGATACTACTTTAAACATCTCATTTAAGTCCTTCAAACAATTCTGAGGCAGATTGGTGCTTTTCTTGCCATGAACAAACTTCTTAGGTGCTGCACAAAACACTCTGAAGGTTTAGGATTTGTGCTGTGTGTCTGCTTATAGCTTCTGAAGTTAGTAAGCACTACCCCCACTCCTGACAGGAGAAGTATCAGGGGAAAAATAAATGTTCTGGCTAGACTTATTGTCTGTCCTAGGTCTGGTGACCCTAAAACAGTGGATGAATATTGTAGCTGATGGCTTTACTAACCCACAGTCATATTCTCACTATGGAATTTTGTCTATTTGATTTATTAATATCACTTGCATCTTTTTTAATCTTTGTAATCAGTTGTTTTGTTTTGTTTTTTTTTTTTAATTCAGGGAAATATGGGCACACTGTGAAGCAGTATAGCCCTTCAGGTAAACTTATGCAGATCTTAGGCACACCAGGTAATGCTGGTTCAAGTTTGATTCCCCTACAATTTGATCAACCAGCAGACATCTTTGTAGAAGAAAGTGGAGATATTTATATTGTGGATGGAGATGGAGGAATGAATAACAGATTGCTCAAACTATCCAACGGTATGGAAAAGTAAAATTCTGCAGTAGCTGACCACTGACAATTGAATTTTAAATAACAGGGCTTGATAATATTTTTAAGTGGGGACCTGGTAGAGCTGTCATTTAACATTACTTTGAAGACTTTGTTGAATCAGATCCTGTTTTCTTGCTTGTCACTTCAGGAGAAATCTATTCATTAACAACAAAAGGCTGATAAAATGAGTGTTCAGTCTTCAAGAGAGAAGGCTAAGGAGGATTTATATTGCTGTCTTCAGGTCTATAATGGGAGAGAAGAGAAAGCCACACATTTCTTGGAGGTGCATAGTGAAGAATAAGGAACGCCAAGCAAACGATAAAGAGGGGTCAATTCCAGCTTGATTTTTTTGAGGGACAGGCTCACAATGAGGCTGAGCAGACAGTGAATAGTTTGTCCAGAGATGATGTGCAGTCTCCATTCTTGGAGGTGCTCAAAACTTGACGAGTAACCTGATCAAACTACAGAGTTGGATTTGCTATCAAGGTTACTTCTGCTTTGAGAAGCAGGTTGGACTGGATGATCTTGGATTTGTTATCAAGGCTATTCCTGCTTTGAAAAGGAGATTTGCCTGGATGAGGTCTGAAGATCTTTTATACTTAAATTATTCTGTGGTTCTAATTAGCTCGCTCACATTCCCCAGTTAGATGACCAGTGTTGGTTAGGGCAGTGAGTGAGGAGTCTGCACTTGTCTGTGGTTGGAAAAATGTGGAGGAGCTAGTTTTTCCTTTGTACTATCATAAAAGTTAGTTTTGTAATATCTATTTTGCAGATTGGTAAACTGTGAAAATGCAAAACTGACTCAAAACTGTTACGTAGCAAATAGTAAAAAATCAATTTAGTAAGCAAATTAATATCATAATCATCCAACTATTTATTTTTCCCCTTTAATATGGTATTTAACAGAGCCTTGGACTATGGCTCTTCTATAATAGTAGCTACATTTCTGTAACCATAATTCTGAAACCATGAATAATAATCCTGTAGTCACTGTAGTAGTTCCAGTATTGCTTGGGTTTATGTGTCAGGAGTACTGTGTTTAAAAAGTCTGAGTTTAGAAATGTCACCTTTTACAAATTAATCAAGGTAGCTTTGCCAGGGAATGACTTCAAGATGGCTTATTTATTGTTTTCTTACTGTGTTTTATCTTTTAATTTGATTTTTCATGGTTCTCACTGTTTAGATTACAGAGAGATATGGATGGCTGGAGCAAATGGGACTGGCATTGGTCAGTTCAAGATTCCTCACAGTGTAACAGTGGATCCTGTTGGACGGGTAAAGAATAAAGAGAGAATTTTTTCATCTTCCAACAGAATTGTTTACATGTATTTAAGCAAAACAAACTATGTTTCTTTTTTAGTTGAGCTGTTGTGATCTGGTTCATTTTATGGTAATTACAGTTTTCAGTATGATGGTGGGCGTGAGCTGAAGGTTCATACTGCAGGTCTTACTGAAGTAGCTGGCTCCAAGGTTAACACAGGGCTTCTGACCAGTGGTTATATTGTCAATGTCCATGCAACAACAGGCTATTCTTCCTCCAGTTTCTAACAGGTTGTTATTGTGAGAGTACAGGAGAATTATGTTCAGTAATAAATATCTACCCAAGCACTTACATTTTTTCAGGGGATTTAATTTCATATTTGGAAATTCTAAATAAGTTTAGGATGATAGTAAGGCTCTAGCTAGGTTGTGGATATCAGACCATTTCTATATGCAGCTCAAGCCATTCAAGAGTCAACTTTTGCCAGATGTTAATCTTGGCATGGCTTTTGCTCTGCTGCTCTTGTAGTCACTCCTTAATCTGTTTTGAGGAAAATTGATTGACTAAAACATCTTAAAATCATTGGTTTGAGCTAATTCTGCTGATGCTGTCTGAGCCAGAATAAGAAGCATATATAAAAATCACTTCTGTGCCAAAACTGGCAGGGTGGGAGGGAGAAGGGGAGGCACATGGTTGCTTTACATGAAAGGGTAACTCTGAGTATATATGTTCAAAGACAGCAGTTGTGATGCTCTCTGATTTTGTTGCCAGCATAGTGTTGATCTGCCCCTGTTAAAAATAGTTGTTAATCCCTAAGAAATCTAAGGGAATGCTGCAGTAATGTGTCTCTTTAAAATTGTGATGAAAGATCTCAGATGAACTTAGTTATTGCTCCCTTGTAATGAATTTTATTTATCAGACTGATGGGCTGTCAACAGCTAAAACTTCAATGGTTGTAGTACAAGAGATGCTTTCACTGAACTGTCTAGTAGTATTGCTAGCTTGAATTGTTTGTGAACTCAGCATAGGATGGGACAGAGACAAGCTCTGCAGAACTGGTAAGACAAAACATGCTGAAAATGCTCTTGGTGTTTAAGTTGGTTGATATTTAGAGTAGTATTAGACATATCAAGAGTGTTTGCAGATGCAGTCATCATAAGCCTGGGTCATTGACATGAGACTACTTTTGAAAAACAAATTGTTAGCAAGTGACAGATCAGTATCTTGAGAATGAAATAGTTAATATGTCCTCGCTGTGGAGTAGGAATCCTACTAAACATATCCATATCACAGCCACAAAAATGAAGAGAAGGCATTGATTTCTCTGTTAAAGTAGTATAAAGTAATTTGTGTGTATTAACTATGTGGTGGTTTTGCTTTATATCTGGAAGTCAGATTTACTTATGTTCCTCCCTATTTAAAACTACATTCTTCCAAGGCGTACCTCTTTTTTACTACAGGATACTTTGCTCATGTAAGAAAGTAATGCATTTTGTTCTGTTTGTGAACAGCCATTATTTTTTTTGTTAACAGGTATGGGTTGCAGACAGAGACAACAAAAGAATCCAAGTTTTTGACAAAGTCACAGGGGAATGGCTTGGGTCTTGGAGCAGCTGTTTTGCAGAAGATGGACCCTATTCTGTCAGGTATTGTTGAACAGTTCTTTTGGACGTATGCAATTACATAAACAAGCTGTATTCTTAATGAATTAGAATGTTAATATTTAATGCCAGATGCCAAGGAATAACCAGTTTAACTAGTAGAGTACTGGGCCATAAGGTACTGCACAGCAGTATCTTGACAGGGAAATCCATGAACCCATGTATTTGAGTGCAGGACTGGGAACTTCATTTTAAAGTTGTAGTGTGGTGTTGAGCTTACTGTTGCAGCTTTTACAGGAAGAGGGATTGTCTTAAATAGGCTTATTGTAGTATAATGTGTCTCAAGGAACAGCAATGTAAAGTAGCAAGGCTTACAAGTTAATTCTCAATGTTTCATTGCATTTAGTCTCTTGTAGCCTTTAAAAAGTTGACTGTTCAGGAGGTTTTGTTTGTTTAAAATTGCATGGCTGTGTTAACATAAGATGTCATGTGGAGTTTATAGTTCAAAATACATTTCTGTCTTTCACAGATTTACTGCTGATTACAAATACCTAATTGTTGCTCAGCTGAATATCAACAGGTTAGCAATCTTGGCAGCACCACTGGTTGGCTCTATTGGGGACTGTGTTATGATCCAAACAATCCAGCTGGCAGATGAAACCAAACCACACCTTGTGGATGTAGACATGAAGAGTGGAGCGGTCTATGTTGCAGAGATTGGAGCCCAGCAAGTACAAAGATATATACCCTTAAGCTGATGGTTTCCCACAACTGCCATGGCATAATTGTGTGATACGTAAGACCTATAACCACATGTCCTTGAGTTTTTTATAGCTTGTGTTTCCTCAGACAAGCACAGAATACTGTACTTCTGGAACTCCAGAGATAAGAATCTGTCCTAAGTGTTCTTCAGTCCTGGAGAAATACTTGGTCTTGAGCTGTTACTCATTTTAGCAATGCTTTTGCTTTTGCTTTTGTTGTTGCCAATTGTAAGATGACTTTGATAAGCATCTTTATTTTATTCTATAAAACTTTACAAACACAGTGGCTGTTCTTAAATGTGTAGGGTCATCCTGGGGCTCCTCTACATAGCCTGCCTGTGTTTGTTGTTAAATGAAGGTCAGAACTGTTTGAAAGAAGTGTATAAATGTTTTCCTGGGAGGTAAGCACCTCAGTTTAATATTTCTTCACCTTTTTTTTTGTTTCATTTGTTTATTTGTTTGGTTTTAAGTCATTGTGCTGATACTGCCCAACACTGAGTATAGGGATGCAGTATGATGTTGAATAAGATGCTGCTGAATAGTGATGTCCGTGCCGATACTGGCATCTGCCTTAAGTGGTTAAGGGCATAAACTTTCACCTCTAGCTAAAGTGGTAAAGTCTGTAATAAGCTTAAGTTAAAGTGATACGAGGCACTTCAAACTAAATTAAAACTATGTGCACAGCAGCCAAGTACTGCTTCTTAACTAAATCAGTTCTTAACCTGATTTGATTTATATCAGCATGGGGTTTCTGTTCTGTGAGATTTCATAGTGGACTATACTGAAGTTCAACTCATTTAAATTCCTCAAGATAAACAAATTGTAATTTACTGGGAGAACTTTAATGAGCATTCAGTTGACACATGATATAACCCCCAATTTCATGGAAGCTCTGTCGGTTAAGAGTGGCACATCTGTTTTGATTTGGGGATTTTCAACTGGTTTATATCCAGAACTTTATCAACGCCATTAATGTCTACAGTTAAGTTTCTTACACTATATCCTAGCAGATGTCTCTAAGCTCTGTCTTAAAAAATGCTCTCTTCATTCCCAGTCCAGAGTGGTTCTGTTCTCTTTACATGTTGCTACAAGGTTTTAAGTTAGTTCCCTTTATAGACCAGAGGGAACTGGGTATAGGAAAATGGGATGGGGAAAATAGCATGGCAGAAATTAGATGATGAATAACTGATTACCTCTGTAAAGCTATAGACCCACATTCCATATTTGTCTGCTAGCTCTTCAAAGTATTTGGGAGGGTTTTTTGCTGTTTCCACACACATTTATTGTACGGTGTGGACTATTTTAATGCTAAAAGCCAGCTAAGAGAGGCTGATTCCTTTTCTGCTTCCTTAGAAATGGAGTATGGAAAATAAATGATTCTGATGGAAAATACCAACTTTCGTGAACATTATCAAAAGCAAGTGCTTCTTAGTTTGGCACATTTCAACTTAAGATCACCTGTCTGTGGGTCAGCAGATGGAAAATCTGTCCAGAAAAGTCAGATTCATATTTTCTGTGGAAACTCGGCTATGGAGCCTGATGGCCTGATTTCAGTACTCTTGGAGATTAGTGCACTAAGTGGGAATTCTTTGTTGTTGGTTGCATCCACAATACCAAAGCAGATTTTATCTGGCTGCCCCTGTCCAGGTCTGAGAACCAGAACTCCAGAGTTCTACACTAGCAAATTATGTTCCATCATTCACATGGTCTTGAATGGGAGCTAGTAAGCAATATTTATTAGCTGAAAAAGTGGCAGTACTTCCTCTAGACCTAGATGCATAAATCCACATTGCTTTGCAGTGTGTTGTGTGAATTTTCTAACTAGCTCAGGGATTTCTGCTTTGTGTGCAGTGTAGTTATTTCTCACCTACACAAGGTGGATTTAGTTTTGAAAATACTGCTGTGATATCATTAACTGTATTTTAACATCTCCAGGTGGTGTAAGGGATCCAGGCACATCCATCCTTCCTGACCACATCCTCTCCTTATTTATTTTTCCTTCATCACATCCATTAGAAACAGAACTCAAAGCTCTCTGGGAGCATGCTTCTGTGTTCAGTAAAGGAGTAGTGTACTTTTGGATGTTGACGAATAAGTTACCCATACAAGTTTGCTGCATGGAACTGCTCCCAAAAAAAGTGTATTTTTACAAGGGTTTTTGCAGCCCCTAGAAAAGGGGAGCATTACATCCAGTTCTGTCTGGCTTTACTGAAGTGCCCAAGGCCAAAATGTGCCTTGCCTATATGCATTTGGGTATCTGTGATAAGAAGGGATGCTCATTATTAACTGGCATGAGATGCTTAGACTTCTTTTACCTCTGTGTCTATGACCAGAAAATGATTGATTTGTGCAGTAACTTGCTAATTCTCTAAAGGTTTTCTTACGTATCATCTTGAAACTGGTTTCTGAAAAATTGCATAATAGGATAATTTGATAAAATAAATTGAGAATTTCCCATTATGAAAGGCTTGGGTGCTTTATTTCTGTACTAATAGCAACATTTTCCATTGCAATGGATTATTTTTTTTTTAAATACTGGGTCATCAGCACTTTAGTAAGGTATGTAGTAGTTTTTGATACCAACATTCAAATGTAATGTAAAATTCCATGTTATCTTTATACATTACTCTTTCTGTGGCCCATCTCTTCTGCTAACTTATGTATCAAAAAAGGCAGATAAATTTCATACAGATGTTTTTCTCTGAGCAATTAGTAAAATAGTATGATGAGTTATATAATGCCAAGTATAAAGAAATACTTGAACTGTACATCCTTTTGACACTAACAGGGAAATTAAAAACATACTAACAAAACACTTCTTAATACAGAATAACGTTTTATTTCCAGAAAAGATTTATTGAGCAGTCTGTTTAGTTTTTAGGAGATCAAAAGTGACTTCTCTATGGGTTAGAAATACTTGCACAAGAAGAAAAATAACATAGTACAGTATACAGTGCAGAGGTATATTTGTAGGTCTGCTTGTTACTGTACATTCACTGCCTTAAAGCGGTTATTAACCTTTTTGAAGCATGAAATAGTTATCTTAGTGGATACTTTCTTAACAATAGGTAACCTGAGAAGCCTTTGCAAGTGATCTGTTCCCAAGAAGTGTTTGCTGTCACTGAAGTTCCTTGTACGAAACATAAGAGGGCACCAAACCCCTGCCAGTGCTTGGCGTACTCGGTGTAGCAATATACTGGCAAATGGGAACAGCTGGTAATTTCTGTACAGTTGGAGTAAGTCAACAAAGAGAATGAATTATTCCAGACTTCCTTTCTGTTTTCAAACTAAACATAAGCAGGTAATTGTATTGTAGGCATTTTGGTTTATTACTACTGGATATATGCCCATCTTTTATTTATTTCCATTGTTTTTACTAGGAAAAAAAAAATCAGTAAATCAGTGTCCAGAGACAACTGGGTGTGGTGAATTGGTTCTTCTAGTCTTTGTGTTATCGATTCCAATGGAATTACTCCTGATATCTTGCTTTGGAAACATAACAATTTTTAATAGTATAACTGTATTAGCATAATTATACCAAGAGAGCAATGCCAATGTATTTCCCTACAGAGGTGATCCTGAGTGAGATTAGAGCTAAACTTACTGGGTCTCATTCACCAATTTTATCCTACCCTTCCTTTCTTGGCGTTTTTTTAAAAATCTAGCTCCAATTTTGTATTATTAGTTTATTCTACTTTGGAATTGCATCTGCAAAAATTTGCCAGCAGTTGCCATAAAAATATTTTGAATGTGGAATTTTCTTCAGGTAAGTGATTCAAAATATTTGAGTCTTTCAGTGTTCATAAAGCATCAAAGTCATGTTGCTTATGTGCAATTTTGAAGTACGAGCATATTAATATATGCACACAGGATGTTACTGCATTAAAGCCAAAGCAAAATTGATAGAAATGAGGTACTGAATAAGCTTTATCATAAAATTATGTTTTGATGCTGAGGAAACCAAATATAATTGTGTAACTGGATCTGCAAAACAGAAGTAAAAACTTTACCCACTTACATTGGGAATAAGCCTATTAATTCTGTCTGAGCTATGATGGGATCTTTTACAAACAAATTAAGACTTAAGAAATCTCTTGAATAACTAAGGTCTATATTTTTTAATCCTTCCTGGTAGTCAATAAATATCATTATAAAGGGAAGACTTTACATTTAGTCTGGATTCATTTGTCTTCAGCCTCATGTTTTCTGTTTTCACGTAGCTTAGAGACTGACTATGGATTTATTTTTTTTCTTCTTATCCCCCATGGAGTCATCTACAGATGATGACTGAGTCATCTCTTGCTCTGCATCTTGTTTAAACTATAGATCGGAAAACTTGACTTGCAGTGGAAAACTGGTGAGACTTTAATTTTGAAATGTTTTCATAGCACTTTTTATTAAAAACAAGCAAATCCAAAAGAGTATTTACTGTGATAGGAAGTCTGGATACTGGAACTGCCAGCACTAAACCTATCTGCTGTACAGGACTAATACTATTTCCCTTTGATTTGATGTGTCTGAACTTGTTTCTTCTACTAGCTTTCAGTACAGTACTGTCTGACAGTTGTCAAAGAATTTGGGTGACTAGGTAGTCAAGGTTCCCTTCTGGAAGAATAAACTACAAAAAATACCACATTTTTAGTCGGTGGTTGCTGTTGAAGTCCTTAGCAAATTTTCGATGCTGTTAACATTTTTTTGACAGGGTCTTAATCAGAAGATCTGGCTGAAATTGAAGTGTCAGAAAATGAGTTATTGAAACAAACTGGTAAGTTGCTAGCAGTTGTTAATTTCATTAAGGTCATTCATTATTTTCAGAAGATTTCTGAAATACTAATTTATACTTAGAACTGCTTTAGTACCAGAAAGAAGAAAAAATAGCAAATATGGCTTAAAAAAAGAAAAAACAACAAAAAAAAAAACAACAAAAAAAAAAAAAAAAAAACAAAACCCACACCTGTGTGAGAGGATTCTGTAGAGATCCAACAGAATTAATGGTTGTATCTTGCCAATTGACATAAACCATAATGAAAAAGTAGATGTATTGGATACACAACCATGAAATCTATTACAAGTCTTTGGGAGAATCTCTGAGCATGTATGTCAGGATCCCCTGGCTAATAAAGTTTGCTTAAATTTTCAAAAGGCTTTCAGCAACATCTCTTGCCAAGTGTCCATAAAGAAATGGTGTGGCATAAGAAAGAAGGAATAATTATGGAAGACTAATTAAAAGATTGGTAAATGAAGTATACTAACAACTAGTTCTGTGCTACTCAATATATTGATAAATTACCTGTAAATGGAAAGTTAGGGACAGAATTTACTGATAGTACTGACCTACCCTTTGCAAAGATTTGAGAAGGTTATAATGAGGTGGAATGCCTGGGCAATAAAATGGCAAAAGGAATATAACATTGATAAATATAAAATTAGGTACAATTAGTAAAAAGAAGTCTAATTTTATATAAACACTTTGATATACATTGCCATATAGGAAGTTATCCAGACTCATAAAAGCTGAAAATATCAGCTTCCAAGCTCAGCAGCAGTCAGGAAACAAAGAGAATAATGGGTGGTACTGGGAAAGGATGAAATAATCACAACAGACAGCATTGTAATGTATGTGAACTCCTGGTGTATGCTAATTTTGAATACTGCTTGCAATCCTGGCTCTTCCTTCCCCCCTTCTAGTCTCACAAAGGCTACAGTGGAACTACAAATAGTAAAGGGGGAGAAGAGTCTGTTAAAAATCCTTGACTATATCCAGCTACCGAGTTCAGTAACATCACTGTTTCATCATTCAAGGCATCTGCATCAACATGCCTTTTCCTTATAGCTGCTTCTCTGAACTAGTTTGGCTTCGGGACTCAGTGAGGGCGTACTGTCTGCTGGCATGCAAAGGTGGGGTGGAGAATAAAGATGGGCAGAGATGTGGGATCTATTATAGAGGAGAAGTTAGCTTGAAAGCAAGGTTAAGAGTTTGCAACTATCCTAAGGTTTTAGTATTGAAGATACCTTTTAAAGACAACGTAGAGTTACAAAGCCTAGTTCATTGGTCTTACCAAAACCAAAAAGTTTTAGCAAAGGAGGCCAGAGTTGCCCTTACTTCAGTCTAGTCAGCTTTGATGTTCTCCTCAGGGGGCATGCCTTGGCTGCCGTTGTCCCAAAGATGAAAAGCGCTATACTCTCTGCATCAGTTAACAAAATTGCAAGAAATGTTACATTTTTCTGTAACACATCATCACCCTTGCTCTGACAGAAACATGAGGGAGCACAAGTGTAGGCTAACTTTTGTACAAAGATCGGAGCACTTGAAAAATCTTGGAATTAAAATGAAGGTGCTCTTTCAAATGTTTTAATAATTTCCAGCCAAGACATGATTCTGATGGTTGCGCTGGTTCATTCTTATGTGCATAGGTGTAGCTGGAACCAGCAGGCAGAAAATGACTGTTAGCTCCTAAACGGGGCCCTCCTTGTACATCCCAGCTGCAGCATTCATAGGCTCTGCAGGCAAATACCCATATCCATCTCTAGAGGGATGCTGCAAAAGAGAAAGGAAAGAAGATTTCATATTACCGGCATGTGCTTCAACACGTGTATAAATCCTCTAGAGGAAATGTGTCTTTAATCAGTTAAGGAGGAGACCTGGAGGTTAGGAGGAGGACAGGAGAGTGATTCCACCTAGCATATTCCACACTGCAACAAGGCTTGCCACATCCTACTTAATGCCTAGTCTAATTTCAGAGCTTTTAGGAATGAAAACCGTAGAAAATTGTTATATGAGTGGGAGATTATTCTATAACTAAGGGTTGCCATAATATGCCTCCAGGGTGTTGCCTTATTGGGGCTTTGTGGTGGATAATGCTACCAGGCACAATCAGGAGAAAAACTTTGGATCACCTGTAAGCGAGATAATGAGCTGGAAGAATTAAAAATTTCTGGGATAACTTTCAAGGTGTCACCTTTCAATTAATTTGAAAATGCTGACCTCTATTCTTACAGGGATGCATGGAGCAGCACATATTCATTAAGCCCAATATCTTTGTAGTAAGTTTTCTTCTTCTCATAGACCATTGAGTCAGGAGGAAACAGGTCACAGCCAATAATTTTCAAACACCTTTTATTTATTTAGCTGTTGCTATTAATAGAGTCAGGCTGTTGTTAACAGCAGATTTCATAATGCCTCTACCTCCCTGCTCCAAGCACTCAGGCACATGGCTGCACTGTTAGAGCACCATTTGGGAGGTCCTCCACAGCTCTCCCAGGAGCAGAGGGTCACCCTGGTGCATCAGTGATGAGGAAGCCTCTTGGGGGGTCCAAGTGATTCATGTGATGTCTACAGACCTGGCAGTCTCTGTACACACACTGCAGCCATCAATACGCTGGAAGTGGCCAGATTATGTGGCCAGTGCTTCCAGTACACATGGCCAGCTGGCCCTGGCCCTAGCCCATCCATGTGGATCTACTT